ATCTATCTATCTATCTATCTATCTATCTATCTATCTATCTATCTATCTATCTATCTATTTATCTACATCAATAGGTCTATCTGCTAATATACTTAATTGTGGCATCTGCTTATAATACTTAATTTCAATTTAATTCAATTGAACACAATTTTATTAAGTTTTCATGTTTAAGCCATTATGTTTATATGTAGGGGATACAAAGCTAGATGGAGGAATTTACAGTGTAATGGAGAGGCATGCCTGAATAACTAAGAAGAGAGAGATGTATACAAAGAAGAGATGCAAGTAAAGTGGCTATGATGAATTGGAAGATGGAGAGCGTGTGTGTGTCAGAAAAAAAAAACCTTCATGGCCTCTAAGGGGACCTTGAAGGTCCCTTCTGAATGGCACTGGGTGGGCCTTGAAGGAAGGAAGAGAAGGATTTCAACCAGCGGAGATGGGTGTGTGCACATAGGGCAACAGTTTGAGAAAAAGCATGGGGATAGGAGAGGGCAGAATGAACTTGTGGTACGTAGGATAATCCAATGAGTCTGAAGCATTTAGCACATGAAAGAGAGTAGTATGAGATAACTTTGGAAAGGTAAATTAGAGTCTGAAGGACCTTGAATGCCAGGATTAGAAGTTTACATTTTGGTTGGTAGCCATTGAAGAGCCAGTGAAGATTTTTAAGTATAAGAGTAATGTGAAGCAAACTATTATCCTCAAATACATTGTGGTCTCCCCTCCATGTTTGGGAAGATGTGATCTGTTCTACACTGACTAACATCCAACTTGGTGCTAGTGTAGTGATGTCCATTTTATGAACTTTGCCCAGCTTTCTTATTTGAACTCTTGGATTTGATGCCAGTATAGCAGCATGGCTACACTTTAGGGCCACAACTTGAACCATTCTCTTTTCCTTGGGATGAGTTTTCTCATGCTGGGTCTGTTAATTACCTTTAGCCACCTACAGGTAATAGGGGTTCCAAAGGAGGCATTTAGAAAAACAATCAAGAAATGAATGTAAGGATGGATTGAAGAGGAGCTTCAATAAGAAACAGGGTAACCGGGAGGAGTATCACAATAGCAAAGACAAGCAAAGAAGAGAACCTAAACCAGGTAGTTACACTAGGAATGGGAATTAGGAAGGATTATAAAGATAAAATTGCCAGGGTCATAAGATCATAGATTTAGAGCTGAAAAAGATCTTAGAAAATTTCCAGTTTTAATACTTTCATTTTACAGGTGAGGAAACTGAGATTGTTGTTGTTGTTCAGACATTTCAGTTGTGTCTGACTCTTTGTGACCTCATGTGGGGTTTTCTTGGCAAAAATACTGGAGTGGTTTTGCCATTTCCTTCTCCAGTCATTTTACAAATGAAGAAACTGAGGCAAACAGGGTGAAGTGATTTGCCCAGGGTCATACAGCTAGTGTGTGAAATTTGAACTGAGATCTTTCTGACTACAGGTCCAGCACTCTATCCACTGTGCCAGCTAGTTGCCCAGAAACTGAGATGCGGAAGGTTAAAAAACTTCCCCCAAGATCTCATAGGCAGTAAGTGGTAAAGACAGGATTCAAGCCTATCTCCTCTGACTCTGAACTCTGTTGTTTCCAATTAGTGACTACCTGGATATGGGGGTGAGAGTCTAAGATGAGGAAGAGTCAAAGAAAATTACTTGATGTTGAATCTCAGTGACTGGAAAAATATTGGTGCCACCAACAGAAATGGACCAGTTTAGGCGGGGTCATGTTTTAAGGGTGAAGCTTTGGTGTTCAATGTGAGACATATTGAATTGGAGATGCTGGCAAGACAGACACATGGAAATATACTGCAGGCAATCTGAAATATAGAACTTTACCTCAAAGGAGATGCTGATAGGATGGAGATGTGAATTTGGGAGTTTAGAATTTGAGAATTGTTTTTGTGAAGCCACATAAGTGGATGAGTTCCCTGAAGGAGACAAGGTTGAGAGAGAAGAGGGACAGAGACAGAGCATTGAGAAATGTTCAGGTTTTAGCAGCAGGGTGAGGATGAGAAGAGGAGGAGACAGTAAATCCCTTTAATTCTTCCTCCTTTGACCTCTGAGAGGGAGAGAGAAGAAGAAGGGGGAGGAGGAAGAGGAAGAAGAAGAAGAAGAAGAAGAAGAAGAAGAAGAAGAAGAAGAAGA